CCTTTCCAGCGCCTTCATGCCATATGAACTTCGTGAGAAAAAAAAAAATCTCCTTCCTTCAGGTATTGGCCGTATGACAAATAGCGCCACCAAGTGCAGCTCTTCAAAAGGCCCATGTGCGCACTAAATGTGGTGGTGGTACTCACCTACCACACACCCTCTCATTGATAATCACCATTGAGGAAAGCCTTAGACGAGTGAAAAACCTTATGATCGGGCAGTCATCGTATCTACGATAGTTGCCTCCAGCTGCTTGAGCCGTTTGCCGACTCTACATTCGCCACCGCCAAATGGAACACGATGACTCTGCCGATCATCATGACATTGCAAAGGAGAAGAAGGTAACGTTGCTTCGGTGATCGATTCTCACAGGCCTGATGGCGAATAGTGCTCAAGTGGGACACTATTCCCAGCGGAACACTATTCGCAGCGGGACACAATTCAAGGGCACTCTCAAATGTCCCAGTGATCCGTCCAGCGGAATCAATTCTTTTGCTCTTCTGTCTGCTTGCAATCAATGCGCATCAAGGACTCTCAAGTGCTCCAGCGGAACGATTCTTGGCACAATCCAGTTGCGGATTGGCAGCAAAGCGACAATGAGCATCGGAAACAAGATCCCTGTGAGATGAACACAGCAAGAACAGCAATCAGAACAATAAAACTGAAAGAAAAACCAAAGAACAAGCAAGTTTACGAAATACAACAAGAATTAGAAACACCCACATACAGCAAACCACCAGCAAACACAGTGCCAAAGTTGGGACCATAGCAGTGCTACCAAAGTTGGGACCATAGCAGTTGCTTAAACAGTTATGCTGGAGAGCAATTATAACAAGAAGACAGTGCTACCGCTCTCCCCAGAACGCAAGGCACGATATCTGACTAGAAAAAATAGCTTGGATACATCCATGATGAGGGTGCAGAGTATTTGAGGAAGAAACTAGCAGTGGCTTTAACAGTTTTAACTGCTAGCAGGTACTTGAGCCCAACTGCTACCGACTTCACCGGAATAGAATGCCCCTTCATTATAGCTGTATTTGGGGCAACTTTCAATCGGTGCGGGCTACGAAAGTGGTACCAAATCGAGGCAAACTCTGAATACTGGGTACGAACTTCTGATACGGTGATAATGACCAGCTGTTTTATTCAGGTGATAACGATGGCAGGTGCTTCAAAAATTTCAACTGCTAACAGTTGCTTTAACAGTTGCGCATGTGTGTCCCAGCAGGGAGTGTATCACTTACTTCAAGTATTCTACATGCTCGCCTGTTTGAGTAATCGTATGAAGAAACAGATGAAGATTCATAGGAAACAACAACAACAACACATAAGCCAACTAGCAATAGCAATGCTGTCCAAGCCAGATAATACCAGTGCTTTCCAAATGTGTGAATACTGTTGTTGGTTTGGCAGGTTCATTTTCTTGCTCAGGGTTAGAAGTGCAATTAAAAAAGACGACAAAGGGTTAAACGGAACTTAAACCACTAGTACTGCATAGCACGGCGAATGCGATTGCACGAACAGCTCGCGAACGTGTTTCCAAATTAGTACTGCATAGCACGGCGAATGTGTTCGTGCGTTCGCGCGAACGGCTCACAAACGTATTCCGGCGAACAGAATTTTTTTCTTTAAAAAAAATAAAAAATAAAAAATTCGGTTTTTGATTTTTAACTCACTTTTGGCTAAGAATTTGAACATGGCTCCAAGACAAAAGTAGCTTGTATTGTTGTTTTACATGACATATGTTTCTTTTTCAAAATTTTCTGAGATGTTTTTGATTTTTAAAATATTTTTTTTTATGTTTGCATTCGGAGGGTTTTGGGCGCTCGTTCGCATTCGGGCGAACATGTTCGTGTTTGCCGCCGAACGCAAACACGATGCTACGCAGTACCTTTGGCGAGTGGAAAAATAGCGGGCCTCGGGTGGGCCTCGGAACTTTTAGGAGGCCGAAATGAAACGACGGCTGGCAATGAGATTTATCAATGGCAGCAGTCGTCGGGCCCGGCCTCCAAACTCTTCGGGAACAGGCGTTCCCCCTAATTTCCCAACACTGGCGGAGGTACTAGTGCTTTAAGAGTCCAAACAGATCAAACAGTATGAGACACAACAAGAAGTGGAAACACATGGGACACACCGTAAATATCCGTACTTTCCACGTTTCCAAACCGGGAACATAGCTTCTCAATTAGGAATAAACTGCCAGTACACTGCCTGGATACCCACGGAAATGTGCCTGTTACCACTGTGCCGCAGAAAGGCTCAGGCTTACCTGACAAAAATGCTGGTGGTCCCTGGTAGGTTTTTTCTTTTGTTTTGCTTTTATACCAAAAGCCCACTGTCTGTTCCACTTAAGCTTTTTGGAGGTGGGAAAAAACACGCACCATCAAACACTCAGTGGCAGCCCATCATGAAGGGACACTATCTAAAACACCAGCCTGCGTACCCGCGCCCTCCCCTCCCCACCCCCCCCTCCCCGCCCCCCCAAATTTGCGATTGCACAGACACCCCTGTCCAAATGTATACACACCAGGGCTGGGCCAACGACCGACTGGTTCTGCCAGGCGCTCTGATCGGTTAAGGTGGTCCAGCCCAAATTCCAGTTGGGCCCAAAATAGCCCTAATTTTTTTCTCTTTTGACAGCGGATTTTGACTGCACACATTGACAGATCTGTTGGAATCTGCATAGAAATGTTTGGAGCGGGGGGGGCGGGAAGAGGTGATGGGGTATGTGGGGAGGTTGATGGGGGAGGGGGGAGGTCGTTGGGCGAAGGGGGAGTTTGAAATTCAGCAAAGGAGAAGAAGAAGAGGAAGAAGAAGAAGAAGAAGTCGAAGAAGAAGTCGAAGAAGAAGTCGAAGAAGAAGAAGGTTCCTCCCCTCACCACATGGCGCGCTGCCAGCTCCAGCAGGCAATCGCGCACTTGCAACTCCGGCCGGCGAGGTTGCGGTAGCAGCTCCAGCAGGCAATGGCATGCTCGCAGCTACAGCGCAAATTGAAGGCACAAGGGGAGTCGCGAGGGGCACAGGGGTAGGCCGGACACAAACTATGACGGAAGCAGCACAAAGGCATGGTGAGCTACATCGCGAATTGAAGGCACAAGGGGAGTCGCGAGGAGCACAGAGGTAGGACGGACACAAACTATGACGGAAGCAGCACAAAGACATGGTGAGCTACAGCGCGAATTGAAGGCACAAGGGGGTTCGCGAGGGGCACAGGGGTAGGCTGGACACAAACTATGACGGAAGCAGCACAAAGGCATGGCGGGCGGCATGAGGCGAACGGGTGCGAGGAACGGTTAGCGTGAGGGCGGACGGGGCCTTTGCAAGGTGGGAGTTCCCACCCAAAGAATTCACAAAAGAATGGCTGATATAGCCCGCTGATCTCTCCAGATCAGCGGCCCAGACCAGGCCCCCTTTCTCCTGCGTAAAATAGGCCTACCGAACCCGGTTTTCTTTTCCTAGTGTGCCAGCAGCCTTCGCAAGGCCGCCGGGGCTGCCCACGCCGTTTTTGGCCTGCTCCCCCCCCTCTCCCACCCCGCCATGATGCAACATGATGCACGGGGGCCAACAGGGAGCCACAGTCCGTCGACCAGGACTTTCCTGGGCGGAGGAGGGCCCCCTGGTCGGACTGGGGACCAGCACTGATCTAGACAGAAACTGTGACCATGTGGTCAGTGCATGTGGAAATAAAAAACAAACAACATCTTTCAAATCATCGTTGGGCGTGTCAAAATGGAGCTGTGATGATGGACGATCTGCCCAGTGGTGGGACCTTGCCCACAGAAGACTGCTCCTTCTGGGCACCCGTTGTAATTGGATTGGATACCGTGATACAAAGAAGACTAGCGTGGCCCTCCAGGAAGGATGGCTTTCACAACAAGTGAGCAATGGTCCAAATTATCTAAATAAAAAGTCCAGATACAAGGCCCCTTCTAGTCCGGGTGATAATAAAAAGTCCAGATACAAGGCCCCTTCTAGTCCGGGTGATAATAAACAGTCCAGATACAAGGCCACTTCTAGTCCGGTTGCTTATCACCGGCAAGCATGTTTGTACATCCAAAGAAAGGGGGAGATCAGATCAGAGAAGAGGAACGGTTTAACTCGAAAGAGACCTGGTAACAGGAAAGCACTGGCTACTTCGCCAGTAGGGAAGGGGTCTAGGTAACCCTTGTGGCACTAGTCACCTAGCAAGGGGGCCGCTGCAAATAGCGACCCACCTCCCCAAACCATGGTCCTTCTCGGGAAAGGTCACCCTGCTCCCCGGGAGGCCTACTAGCAGCACCCAGACACGCAGCAGGATGGCCCTCAGAGGGGCGGACCGCAGGGAGGGGCCTCGCCTACAGTTCCTCAGACCGCCTATCAAAACCCGCACGTTACTATGTCATCGCTTTCCAACTTTGTCTACCTTGTCCAGCTCTCATTTTATCCATCTTATCCTGTATGGGCTGCCTTAACAGCACGCAAAGTCCAGACTACAAATATACTTTCTTCCTTTTTTTTCTTTTTTTCTTTCCCCCCCACCCCGCCCCGCCCAACAACACAGCCCCTTCTATTCTGGGGGGCATCAGTCCGGTTACTTATCACCACCAAGCAAGTTTTTTACACCCGTCCAAGAAAAGGGGGAGATCAGACGAAAGGAAAGCAACAGTAGCCCCCTTGTGGTACTAGTCATCTATCAAGGGGGGGACTGCTACAGTGCATCCCACCTCCCAAGCCTTGGCCTTTCACAGGGGGTTGGACTGCAGGTCGGGAAGCTTACTAGCAGCACCCAGTCACGCGACAGGTGAAAACCTAGGCTACCAGAGTGGCCCGGGGTCACTTGCCCGGCCGGGCCAAAAACAATTAAAAAATAAAAATAAAAATAAAAATAATAAAATTTTATTTTTTATTCTAAATTTGGTGCAGAATTTCGATGTGACCCTGAGGCAAAAGTTTTTCAGTTTATTTTTCTGCATAACATAGTTTTTTTTCGGATTTTTCGGATTTTTTTGATTTTTTTTTTTTTTTTTTTTTTTGGCTGGGACCTTCCCTGGTCCTTGCACGGGCTGGCCACCCGGGACCCGGGCGGCCCGGCTGGTAGCCTAGGTCAAAACCCAGAAAGGCCAGGCACGGGGGGGACGTCTGTGGCAGTTCCTCAGGCCACCTGTCAACCTACTGATTTCATACTCCTGAGACAAAGAAGAACCATTGCTTGCATATCTCTATTGTCTTTGTAACCACTACCATCCCCATTAATCATTTTCTACATTTGCCCCTAATTTTTATTTTATTTTTTTTATTTTTTTTCGATCCAAGTACTCGTAAAACAGCCTCGAAGGGGCTAATGGGAAGATCCACACATCTGTGCAAAACTAGAATCATGGAGGCAGGTTTGTTCTGCTCATCTGTTTCAGGGGTTACATGGTTTTCTAAATTTGACATATCCCGGTTAGCCCGGAGTGTGCATCTTTGAGAGATCGGAGTTATGCTGGTTGGGCGGGATTTTGGAGTGATTTGTGGGGGCGTTATCCCAGCTTACTCTGTTGTGTAGGGTTCACAAGGACTGGGGGCAGCACCAGGTGGTTGAGAGGGATATGGATGGGTGGGATATCACACGTTCTGCTGACGAAGGGGCTAGTCGG